AAGGGAGTGTTATCCAGACACCAGCAGAGGGGAGGAGCCAAGGGAGTTGTTCCTAGATGCCCGGCACCGGAAAGCTAATAGGCGTAAAGAACAGTTACAGGAGGTAAGTGCACTCAGCTGGTGGTAATTAGGCTCCTCTCCAGCCTATAAAAGGAATGCTTGTGCACACGCCCCTTTTGCAGAAGTCAACGCATTAACTAATGTTGGAGAACTGTGGTGTTAGGCAGGCTGGATTGCTGCCAAGGCTTGTGTGTGCTAGATTGCTGCCAAGGCTTATCTGTGCTGGATTCCTACCAAGGCCTGTCTGTACTGGTTTGCTGCCAAGGACCTGTCTGTCTGTGAATAAATTCTGTAAAGTATCTTTGGCTCGGAGTGCTTTGGTGTGGGCCAAGGGGGGGTGGGGTCAGAACAGATATGTATATTGCTACAGTTTTCCATTGTCTTTCTATAATACCTGCATGCTTTGGATTCAATTCCTTTTCTGTTTGTAATCGAAACATGTTCAGTTTTATGGTCTGGATGACACTCTCGAGCCGGCATACTCGATTCACCAGAGTTTCGCAGGTTCTCCACAGTGAGTTATTTGCTTCACCAAATGCTGTTCGAACTTGGACAGGGCTGATGGATTGGTGGTCCTCAGAATTCACCGGGTATTTTGCAGCTAAGCGTTCCATGCTAGGAAAAGACCAAAGGAATACCTACTTGTTTGGAATCATCACTGGCATCTCATCAATATTTAATATAATTAGCTACAATCTGGAACACAACAAAGCCACAAAATCTATTTCTCATTTCCCAAATTATATTAATTCAGCAACCAGATTAAATTAGAATAGAAAAACTCTGCTAATAATTAAATACTAAGGGAAGAAGCAACATGAAGCTGAGAAAGAGAAACGGATACGGAAGAAGGCAAACTCAGAATTAAACTAGCGTTCTTAAATAAATTTTCCTAAAAAAAAGTCTCACTAAATTACTGTGAAACTTACTTCTAAGCAAACCTATCCAAGATTGTGCAAGATCCATTTCAATCATACCTGTGTCCGTTCACTCCCATTTTCTGCAGATCTTTCAACAGTTCATTTGTCTCCTCTTCAACTACTTTCATTCTTTGGTCCAGCACAACAAAGGTTTCGGGAGCCGTGGGGTGAACATCCATTGGGGAAATTACTGGTCTTGCCATCCCAATCTCAGTTTTCAACTAGTATCTGATTTAAAAACAATTACATTTAGAGGTAGTAGTAATGAATGCTCTTCAAACCAGCTCATTAATCACTGAAAAAAAATATAGACATAATAACTGCAGAGAGAAATAATAAAATGGTTTCTATAATGTTCACGTATTTTAAAAGTAGTGAAAATAGATAATTTTTATAGCCAGCTGCCGCACACTATTTTTTGCATGTCTGGGAAATGAAATAGGTGTGAGAAAAATTAGACAGTACTAAGATTTCTAATTTTTTTTTTCAACTGACATTTTCATTTAAATGTCAGTTGTAGGACACTATATTTTTATGTTTCCCGACTCAGAATAGCAAGAAACTTCTATAAAGTTTTTGCTTTTTCAGTCAGAAGGAGTTTCAAGAGCAAGGTCTGGGGGTTACATGTGTCCCAAGAGCTTTAGGCTATCTACTCTTATTCTGTAATATGGGAATAGAGTATCTCTTTTCTTGAAGCTGAGTTAAAAGGATAAGTTTTCCTAATTTTCTTGGATAATTCAATAAGTGTAATATAAGCCAATGAATGCCAATAGAGATTTTCCAAACAAAACTTCTGAAAAAAAGGAGAGGCAGCTAAGGCTTTTTGTGAAATTACTATTGTTTGCAGTGAATAATTTCACTATAAGCCTTCCTTGTCTTGGAGCAGAAAGAGAAGACAGACAACACAGAGAATTATTTCCAAAGATATATTATCACTAACATCATGAGGACTCATCCCTTTTGTCTGATATACTGAGCCATCCAGCTTTGACTTTAACTCTCTTGCGTACATTTCATTTGATATTAAATCCCTATTAAAGCCGTGGGATTCGCTCACAATTCAGCTTGTTTTAAAAACTGACATATTTGTCAATTCTGATGTTTTGGGTTTTTTTTTCCCTTAAAAAAAGTAAAATTCCAAAACTGATTAAAAATAACCCATTCTACTGCACAGAAGAAACTTGGTGAAAATATTGCAGGAGTGGCAAGGTCAATCTTACCTCCAATAGATCGATCAGATCCCACAGATTAGGCCTCCTCCGAATTCCATCCACCGGCAAATGCCGACTTATTTCCTGACAGAACAATTAATCAGTGGAACAGCTGGCCTCCAGAAGTTGTGAATGCCCCAACACCGNAGGAGTCAACGCATTAACTAATGTTGGAGAACTGTAGTGTTAGCTTGGCAGGCTAGATTGCTGCCAACGCTTGTCTGTGCTGGATTGCTGCCAAGGACTTGTCTGTCTGTTAATAAATTCCGTAAAGTATCTTTGGCTCGGCGTGCTTTGGTGTGGGATGAGGGGGATCAGAACAGCCTGCTATCTGAGCACCATGGTGTGTCATAGCTGATGGCTTGTTTTGCAATCTTAGGGCTGCTATCAGGGATCCTTTTCTGCCTCCTGCTCTTGCTAAAAGTATTAGAAGTAGTCCATATACATTCTCTTTAGAAGGCCACCTGATCTATTATGCTCTCCAGCCAAGAGAAGGAGAAACCTAGGGGGGATACTTGATGGAATAAAATTTTCAAAGGACAAGCAGTTATTTCTCAGCTCAACAATATTTCTTTTCTCCAGCTTGAAGTGGATATTTTGACAAGACAGCTGAAAGCCTTTTTTTCTCTCTCCCTCTCCCATCACTTAGGGAATGAATATAAATGGAAAGCCCTCTGTTAATTACTGCAATTTGATTGATATCAACTTTCATACATTTTTTCTTTTGTTCTCTTTCCCATTTCATAGTTCAGTCTTCTCGGTCACATTGTACTCTTTAAGATTATTATTTGGACTGCAATTAGAAGAGCTGAATCTTGGGAAATAAATGCCACTTGCACAAAACTTCTTTTTTGAAGATTTTTGTTTTGTTTTGTTTTAACATTATTGAAAGGTAGCTTAGGAAAACAGGCACGGGAAAAACAACTCCTGGGGGAAAAAGTGGTTGGATAACATCTTTTTTAAAATTGGTCCCCGATATAGATTCACTTATTTCTGCACTTTTGATCACTTTCACACAGTATTGTTATTGGATAATACTGTCAATTAGCCAGTGAAATACATGGTTAATATGGTGACTGGGACTAGAAGCATCTGGGTTTAACCTGAGGCTGCTTTTCAAAAGGCAACTGGACTTCCTTAATCTTTTTTTCCTTGAAGACATTTTGCTTCTCATTCAAGAAGCTTCTTCAGTTCTGACTGAATGGTGAGGGATGGAACGGTTTGTATGCAGTCATCTGGATATCATACAGGTTTAAGTCTTTACTTGATGATGGAGCTCACTGGGTGACTTTGGGAGAATTAATTCTCCCTTACTCCAGTCTACATCAGAGAGTCATGGTTAAGAGGCAAACATGAGCAAAGCCTCTTAAATATTGTATATCGGCTGCAGTTGTCAACTCGCAAAGCATCCCTGGCCTGCTCTCGAGTTGCCATAGGAAAGGAGGGATGGGAAACCGATGAAACGGCATGGCAGCAAAAGACACATGCACATTCCAAACTTATCTCTCTCAAGGCTGTATCCCAGGGTTTCTTACAGTGCCCGGAGAGGAGTGATCTCAACAACCCACAAAATACGTGCCGACATGAAGCTCCTAATAAATAACTGGATTTCTTTTGAAGCTTGTCTCAGGGCTCATGATTTAATTAGGGCATCCGTCGGAGCCCTGACAGCAGTCTTTCCTGAATGATGACTGTCCGTACTTAGTTGCTTAAGCCCTGGTCATCTTTTGTCTGGACTACTGGAGGTGTGTCCCTAGTGGAGAAAAACATGGAGGTGGTCGCTGGATTGATGGCAGACTCCTGTTCCCCCTCTTGCTCTCTACTCTCCACCCATTTTATTTTATCAGGAAACATAGGGAAGGTGGGCTCAGAGCCCTCCTAACCATACCAATGTGCTACAAATCTAATGGGGATGTCCATTTTACTAACTAAATTCATGGGGGCCTAACCTTAACCCTAAGTGGATTTGGTATGTTGCATGAACAAAAAAAGCCTATTGTGATGTTATCCCAAAGGTGCTTTTTCAAGAGGCAACGGGACTTCCTTGTTTTTCTTTGAAGATGTTTTGCTTCTCATCCAAGAAGCTTCTTGAGCTCTAACTGGATGGTGGGGAATGGAAGAATTTATATTCCTTGCAGACTGCTGGTCATTTGCATTCTTTTAGCAGGTTGTTAAAGTCACCTGGAGGTTTATCTGTGGCATCAGGGGCCTTAACGACCCACTAAAAGGATGCAAATGACCAGCCGTCTGCAAGGAGTATAAATCTTTCCATTCTCTACCATCCAATCAGAGCTGAAGAAGCTTCTTGGATGAGAAGTGAAACATCTTCAAAGAATAACAAGAAAGTCCAGTTGCCTCTTGAAAAAGCACCT